TATGTTTTGTATAACTTAACATTACAGTTTAATTAAATATAATTTATGCCATCAAATGTGGTTTTTGGAAGCTTTTGAATGCATTGTCAGACAGTGACTTCTCTGCTTAATATGTAAACTGAAAATGTGACCATAAAGGCATTGGAATGTTTTCCACCTGCAATCCATTATGTAAGAAGAATATGTAATATATTTGAAACTTTGACTTGTCAGTTCTAGGAAGATAATCATGGCTAAAAAGGACTTGCTGATTTTATATATGTACCATTTGTTGAATGTAAGTAATAATATTAGGCACCATTAAAACGATTTCACTAGTTGCTATAATGGCAAGAGGATTGAATGACCTTCCATCAGAGGAAAGTCTTTTATATCTGAGAAAGGCTTGCTACTTTGTGATGAGAAAGGTCCTGCCCATGCTACAGTGACATGATATCATACCAGACAAGAGATTCACTCATGGTGAATTACATAAGTAATTTGTTCTGTTTTGTTGCTGAGTCCTATCTCATTGTATGGGTAAGCCATAATGTGTTTATCCCTTTAACTACTGATGGACATTTGGGCTAGTTGCAGTTCAGTGGTGCTTTGAATATCTGCATACAAGGCTTAGCGTAGCATTATTTTTCATGTTTTCTCAAAAATACCTAGGAATGAAACTGATAGGTTATTTGGTAGTTGTCCAACAGTTTTCACGAGTGGTTATACCACTTATCATTCACATTAAAAATGTATGAGGGCTCCAATTATTTCAGATCCTGCCTAACACTTGTTATGGACAGCCTTTTAATTATCCATTCTTGGGTTGTGGTATCTTACTGTAATTTTAACTTGCATTTCCCTGAAGACTAATGATGTTGAGTAGGAGTTGGTAAACTGTGACCCGGCATCCAACTGCCAATTTTTACAAGTACAGTTGACCCTTGAGCAATATGGGTTTGAACTACACTTGGTCCACTACACACAGTTGTTTTCATATATATATATATATATATATATATATATATATATATATATATATAAATACAGTACTATATATGTATTTTCTCTTCCTTATGATTTTCTTAACATTTTCTTTTCTCTAACTTTATTGTAAGAATACAAATATAGAATACATACCACAGACAAAATATGTGTTAATTGACTGTTTATGTTATCAGTAAAGCTTCCAGTTAATAGTAGGCTATTAGTAGTTAAATTTTGAGGAGTCAAAACTATATGCAGATTTTTGTCTGTGTGGTGGGTTAGTGTCCCTAATCTCCATATTGTTCAAGGGTCAACTATACAATTTTATTGAAACACAGACATGTCATTTTAATGCTACAGGGCTTGTATTTAAAAATTAAAAGAAAATTGATTCTAATTGGATTTTGAAAGACTTTTTCTTTTCTTTTGTTATTTCACAACAGCCCCTTGAACTATTTAGAGATACCCTGGGATGTCAGAAAAAGAGGATTAGAAACAACTATCCTAGATCCAAGGTTCTACTTTATCGATGTGCAATCTTTTTTCAGCCATAATGGTGGTGGTTTCCTGAAATGTTCACATTCTTTATTTTGTCTCACTCTTGATTGATGTAGGCTTTATTTCTCATAAGATATAGTAAAATGTTTTTCTAGTATTCTTATTACTCTGTACTCTGGGGCTTTTCTGGACAATATATCTGCCATTTTACCTTTAAATGTTTTCCTAGTTAAGCTTATATCATATTATATTATTTTTCTATTAACTCTACCTACATCATTCACCAGAGGTTTTCATACTAACATTGAAAGATAACTGTCATCACATGACTAGTGTTCTAAACCATTAAACTGGAATTACTCAGAATGAAGAGTAACTTATCCAAGATTAAAAATTATTATAGGATGCATGGAGATATACCCTAAAATATCAGGGGAAATTGTCCAGTAGTATAAAATTGAATACTAGTCCAAACATTCATTCGAAGGAATGCTTGACAAACTTAATCAGATTGAAAGGGCAAAAATTGCTTTACCTTTTTGCTGAGAACCAAAAAGACCAGTGGTATAATTACTGAATAGGTGAAGGCGGGTAGAGAAGACAGACAGAAGATAGAGGGAATCCATATTGGGTGACAATGTGAGCATAGGTGAAAGTGCATTGCCAAATGTGAGAAGATTATACTGGCCAAAAAGAAATAAGATATGTTGAGAAGTAATAAAGGAAGAAGTAATGTGTCAGGAAAATGAAGGGACTTGAATTTCCAGCTTCAAATAAGCAACTGGGACGATAGTCTCAAAATACTAAGTTTGTGATGCTGCTTTAAGGTAAGATTTGTTTGTGTGCATCTCTCTCTCTTTTTGAGGACTTTTAAAAGTTTAGCTCCAGAGAGTAGTGTGAATTAGAATTTTGGAGAAAGTGGGTAGTTAAATGCCAATTCACTCAAAAAGTTACATGATGTTGATGTATTTGCTGACATAAATCATTAGTGAAAAGGACAAAGATTGGAGTCATGAAAATTCCCATGTGGAGGAAATGAGAACACTTCCACTTTTGTTGGTCAGTAATTCTGTTTACAACCTTCCTTTTCCTCACTTAGTGCTGCCATCCTTTCCACTTTCCACGTGGAAGAGTAATGTGGTACAGCAGGCCAAATTCTATGAGCAAAGGTCTAATGTGATGATGCTGTGACTCTTGGCTCTTAGTCAAACATGAGTATAGCCTAAGTACACTAATATTCCTTATTCTCTGCTTCCCAACAAGGGGTGGGTAACAGACCAGCTGTGTTTTAATTTACTGTGGGACCTAACAATCTTCTAAAGTAGTGTAGTGACTCTAGGGTTAATCTAGGCACATAACTAAGGAGGGAAAAATTGACTTGGACAAAATCTATATTATAGCTGAAGTATAAATCCTCTCTTCAAAATCTAATGAAATTAGGACAAAACATTAGCAGTTAGCATCATTTGAGCATTATGGTTTCGGGGTTGGCCTCTCCTTACCTCTCTATTGGGTAATTATGACATTCTCAACAAAAAAAGAGTAGGAAGTGAAGCTGGTGCAAACTGAGATCCAGTTTTGATCTTGCACTTAACTTGCAGAGTGACAGAGAACGGGGGGCCCTCAATTTCATTGTACTAGGAGAGATTTGACTGGGTGAGCTAAACTAGATGAATCTTCCTTACATTTGGATAAAACGCCCAGTATCTCTGGGTTTCAATTTTGCCAGAAATGTGGGAATAACACTTTGAGAATCTTGAAGTTTATGAAAATGTCATCAAATACTTGGAAGTATAAAGAACTATGTACATACCCGGAAATAGTTGTACTGGCTGCTGAGGTAAGACAGTGGTTCCCACAACTTGGTATCCAAGAAGGGGCTAGCTGTATTTTTTCAAAGGCCTATTGGAATCCTTTATGTAGCTATATTGAGGCAGACCAGGCTAATTTTGACTGGAATAGTATAAATTTAGTGTGATGACTTTGGGAAGCCATGCTGTTCAGAGGTACTAACTGGTATTAATGAAGTATAAATCTTATGAATATAATTGATATAAATAAAATGAATCATGAGAAATCAAATGTGGATTACTAAATTTCTAATGGGTAAAATGTTCTAAAAATATTAAATCTCTGTAGAATAAAGAAAGAAAATAATTGAGGTCTATAATTTGTATCTAAAACTCTGGAGCCAGACATGTTTTAGAATTCAGAAAATCCTTGGATTTTAGAAATGTACTAGGTTGTCTGGACCCCTTCAGTGGGGGCTTGGCCAGCACCCCTTAATTAAACATGTTTAATATTCCTACAATTAAACATGTGAATAGTTACACAGATTATTCAGTGAGATTTGAGAAAGACTTGGTGGCCTCATATGGTTCAGATTGGGTTTTCTTACCAAATTAGTTAAATACAAATTTACCAAAAAATCTTACAAAGCTGTTTTGGATTTCTGTCTTGTGACTTAATGAAGTAACCAATTATTGAGCAATTACTATGTGCCAGCTTCAAGATAGTGCCATTTGCACTAATCTTTGTAAACAACCCATCAAAGTGGACATTGTTATCCAGTATTCATAATTTACAAATCAAGAAATTCAGGGCCAAGTATGTTCAGTGAGTAGCCAGAGGCGCCACTGGTAATTAAATTGGAGAGCTGGTATTTGAACTCTGCTTCTTCTAGTCCCAAAGACAAAAGACAATGTTGTTTACTCACCGCTTGGTCAAGACTTCTGGTTAGTGTGATAATCTATCCTTGTTGCCTACATAGTTTTTTTAAAAAAAAAAAAAGAGCTTCGAAAATTTAATTAAGTTTTCTTTCCTCATTCTGCACAATCTCTCTGGGGAAGTTCATCCAATAATTGTTTAGAAACTGATGACATCCAGATGGATCAGTGTCCTGTTACTGAGCATCACACTTGATTATTCAGCCTCCTGGGGACATTTCCATGTAGTTGTCTCATTGACCCTGTGGGCCCCAAAAGAGACCTAAAGCTTTTTCTCTTCCATTTATCTTCTCTCAGAACTCCCTAATCTCCCTAAACTGACCCCCTCCACCTGTGTCCCTTTGTTTCCAATTCTCTATGTAAATCACTCTCTTGTGGGGATACAGCTGGAGGGCAGCACTGATGAGGCTGGGGGGTTTCAAAGTGCAGTAGTTAAATTTACTGATATGAAATGTCAGATCCTTTGAACATTCCCAGATAATATGCATCCAATGAAGGTTTTGACTATCATGGATACCCAAAGTAGCCTTAAATGTCATCTACCTGCTCAATAATAAATTACCAAATATTAAATCCTAAGATTTTACTTTGTGTTCTAGACTGCTTTCTATTTTATTTAGTTTGGGTTTTTTGGATCTCAGAATTACCCACGTTTTAGCAGTTTGGGTAGATGAGTTGGAATATTCAGTAGCTAAGTAGATAGCATGTTTTCCAGTAACAGTGTCTCTAGCAACTAACCTTTGCCCATATTTGCCCTGGGATACTAAAGTGGTAAAATAACAGCCCTGTGTTGTGTGTTCCCATCTTTAGGTAAAAGGCCAAGTCTGAAAGTCCACATCAATACCACGAGCGACTCCATCCTCTTGAAGTTCCTACGTCCAAATCCAAATGTAAAATTAGAAGGTTTTCTCTTGGGATATGGCAGCAACTTGTCACCAAACCAGTACTTCCCACTTCCAGCAGAAGGGAAATTCACAGAGGCTGTGGTCGGTAAGATGTTTGGGTTTCAGGCGTGGGAAGAAGAGAGGTAACAGGTAATGGGTGCCACGTGAACTATAAATCTTGAAGGCAAATGCCCTTTCTTCTACATCTCAGCCAAACCAAATGCCAGAGTTACAAATCATCTACATAATTGTTGTAACCTGCATAGCATAGTGCCTCTTTGTGGAAAAAATACAGAATGAGAACTCGGCGTGTGCTGCAGAAATAATCATCTTCGTTGCCATTATAACTACAATCCCTGACCAGAGACCTTAAATTTCATAAGGAAAAGTAAGCTAAAATGCCTGGTTTACATCTCTGTAACATAGCCTGTTTATCTGGGTTACTTTTCCTCCCCGTTTTGTCTTTACATTCTTCTGGTGAAAAATAACCACCATAGCTTTCCGGGCATCTCTTCATGAGAAGGTACCTTTAAAAAAGAAAAGAAAATATGTTACATTTTTTTAAATGTAAAAAGATTGAAAAAATTAAAAGCTTTTATAGGGATGATAGCATTTTACATTTCTTTGGAAATGGTTTTAATCCCATTAGCAATGTAATATGAGGATGTAAGCATCTTTAAGCCTTGTTCAGAAAAATTATTTGCAAAAAAATAATTTTTTTAAAAAAAGATAACATTTATCCTTTTCTAACCTTTTTTTAAAAAATTTAACATCTTTTAATGTTAATGTTATCATTTAACATTTTTTTTTAAAGATTTTATTTATTTGACAGACAGAGATCACAAGTAGGCAGAGAGGCAGGTTGGGGGACGAAACAGGCCCCCCACTGAGCAGAGAGCTTGATTCGGGGCTCGATCCTAGGACTCGATCCTAGGACCCTGAGACCATGACCTGAGCCGAAAGCAGAGGCTTTAACCCACTGAGCTACCCAGGGGCCCCAACATTTAACATTTTTTTTAAAAAGGATAACATTTTTTAAAAGGGGATCATCTATTATGAATGCCTTCAAAGGCTTTCTGAACGGTATCAGATGATACTTGTATGTTGCTCCATTGCTAGGATTATTGCTGCAGGGCCTTTCCATGAAGTTGCCGTGTTTAACCCTGTCACTTGAACTATCGTAGATCAGATCTGGCATTCATGCGTATACACAGGGAATGCTAAAGAGAAATGTAGTTTGTCCTGCAGCCGTTTCATCCTCATAGAGAAGCCTGTTGTACTCTAAAATTAGACAGGAGAGTGACATTATTACTTAAATATCTAGACTAGATTTTTACCTATGATCATTTTTTTAAAACAAACACATTACAATTTGTTGCCAAAAAAAATTTTGAGAATTATGCATTTCTGACCAATGTTACAACACTAACCCTGACCATGTAAACGAAAGAATTTGAAATTTTGCAAGTACTCCCCCACCACGTTCACCCTTTACTACAAAAAGTGCCTGGAAGCTATAGCCCACATGCCAACAGAACTGAGTCCACAGCTCCTTTATTTATTGAGCAACAGAAGTAATATTTAGGATAGTTTCTCCCCTTGGTTCTTTCGATTGAGAATTTGCTCAGTTGTAAACTACCTTTCCATCAGAGGGGGAAAGTGTTCAGTAAGGGGTAGAGAAGTCCGATTGCTAGTGAATAATATGCACAGAAAAGGAAAGAAAATTTCTGGTATAAATATACCAACCTTTCAGTAGCTCAGTGATGAGGGATAATCAGATGGATCCAGTACACTTTTATTTACTTACGGTTGTTGTCCTTTAAGTTTTTTTTTTATTATGGAAAGTTCAGACATCCAAGGAAAGGAAATATTACAAGGGTCCTCGTGTTTCCTCATGCAGCTTGAATACAGATCACTGTTCTGCTGATCCTGATCCATGTTTTCTTCATACACACAGTTTTCTTATTACAGGATTTTAAAGCGTAACTGGATACTGTATGTTTAAGTCTGTGAACCCTTCAGTATGCTTCTCTAACAGATGAGAGATATTTTGAGTAATGCTGTGCCTTTATCACATCATAATAATAATCCTACAATATCATTTGATACCTAATCCATATTTAAATTTCCCTGCTGATCTTAAAAATGCCTTCTTCTTGTTATTTCTTTTTTGGATCAGTATCCAAACAAGGTCTCCATGTTACCTTTTGTTGTTACATCTTTTAAGTCTCTTTTGTCCTATGACAATCCTCTCTCTCTTCTCTTCGCAAATGTCACTGATTTGCTGGAGCACTTGGCTCATACATCCTGGTCCATGTTCTGCATTTAACTGGTTTCTTCCATTCTGTAATTTTTAACTGGTTCCTCTACATTCTGTATCACCCATGGAAAAAATATGTAGATTTGGAAGCTGTGTTAAATTTGGATTCAGCTTTTTGGGGGAAAAGATACTTTATAGACAGCACTGTGTATTTCCTAACAACTCACGAAAAGAGACACTTAAATCACTGGTGTCATACTCAGTGATGATAAGACTGTTCAGTGTATTTAGGTGGTCTCAGTTGGATCCCTCCATGATAAAATTCACCATCAAATTATCACTTAGTAGTTTTTGCATTATTGCTGATTATTGTACAGATCCATTATTTTATACCAGGCTTCTAAAATGGTAGTTTTTTATATTCTAGATATCTTCTAGATACATTCTAGATACAATCTAATTCTATCATTCTGCCTTTTTTAGCTCAAATTCTACAATAAAGAGTTTATTTTTAAACAATTTTTCCTTACAGAATTTTAGGAAGGTTGGGATAAATTCTCATTGTAATAAATTGGTGTTCTGATGGTCTCTGGTAGAGACTTATAATATTGTTTTATGATCAATAAGAGTACATTGATTTTTATATATCTAATGAGGTTCAATCAATGTATCATGTACCCAACCCTTATGTTTCTTCTCATTGTCTAGCCTGCATAGGGTTGGCTGTTTACCTTGGTTCACTACAAAACTATGGATTTCTTGAAGTCAGGGTTTATGTTATTCTTTGGTTATTCATAGCAGAATTATTTAAATTGAGTAGAGAGGCAGTAAATAATTGTGGCATTGAATTGAATGGACTCAAGTCTGTGTAGAATATTTTGGCTGGAGGAGGCCAGGAGAGAATGTCTCGTCTCAGCCTTTGTCATCAGGCGAGTATATATCTAAGCCATCCAGGGTAGATAAAATCCATCACTCTGTATCTTAAAGATCTCTAGGGACAAAGATTCCAAAACTTCTCCTGGAAGGCTATTCCAAGTAGCCTTTTAAAAACTCTTACCTCATCCTTTAGATAAATGTGTTCTTTTTATAGTTTCCTTTCTCTTCTGGTATTCTAGTGGAAGAGAAAAAAAAAATTTCCTCTCACCTCTTTCCTTTTCCATCTTTCTTTATGCCAAAGAATCTGTGTGCTTCTACTCTTATTACTTCAAAATGGACTTGCATTTCCAAGTTAAATGTTATTCTTTGGTTGCTTGAGTTTATTCTTTATAGTTTTTTTAATGACTGTTTCTATTACTCCTAATTGATTAAGCAACTATTAGTTTTTGATTGCTGCTATAACCATGAATTTGGTGGTTTAAACATCACAAATTTATTATCTTACAGCTCTGCTTGTCAGAGGCCCTACCTGGCTCTCTCTGGGCTAAAATCAAGGTGCGGGCAGGGCTGCATACTCTCTTGGAGGCTCTGAGGGAAAAATCTGTTTCCTTGCTTTTTGCAGCTTCTAGAGGCTGCCACATTCCCCTTCCATCTTCAAGCCAACAACGAGTCAAGTGTTTCTCATTCCACATCGCTCTGAATTCATCTTCTGCCTCCCTCTTCTACTTTAAAAGATCCTTGTGACTGACTATATTAGGCCCAGCTGGATAATCCAGGATGCTCTCCCTATTTTAAGATGAGCTAATTAAAGACCTTCTTTATATCTGCAACCTTAATTCTCCTTTGTCATGGTATCAAACATATTTACAGGTTCTGGGAATTAGGATTTGGGCCATCTTTGAGGAACCATTATTCTGAGTTCCACAAACTGTTGCTTGAAATTTGTGTCTTGATTCTTTCTGCCGCCAGTTTACTGTATGATCATTCTCAATTCTGCTCATCTGTAAATTAGCAATAAAATCTATTTTTCACAGATGTGCTGAGGGCGCATTAGTGAATTCATGATTATCAAGTGATGAGTTGAAATCCTTTGAGTACAAGCTGTTCTACAATAGCAAAGAATCGTTAGTTTGTGAAAAAAAAAAAAATCGCTTAAAGCCTCTCCTACTTTCTTCTGTAGTAAGATAGTAGCTGTTCAGTTGTACTGAACTAGACCCAGACAGATTAACTTATTTTCATTTTCCAAATAATATTGTCACACTATGACACATTTAACTTGTTTGATGTGTTTAAAAGATTCCACCATTGAAATGAGAAGGTGTTCAATTATTCAGAAATATTGAAGTTAGCATTTAGTGACTGGGAGGTTAAACTTCTCTTCCTGAATAATCACTTCTAAGTATTCCTGTAGTTATTTTAATATTGGTCTATCTATTGAAAAAGGCATTTTCAAAAGTTACATACTGGTCTTACATATAAAACTGAAAAACAAAATATTCCATCTTGCTATTTCGGAAAATGGGATTCATAGAGAACTACTGCAAAAAAAAAAAATTTACTTCAGCAAAATCTTCTAAAATTTTAGTAGATTAATTGGAGCAGTAGAAAAAGTACTATTATCTCAGGTGACTATGAATAACTATTAACAGCTGTGAGATTCTTGCAATAATGGGATAAAACATGATTCATATTTAGTAGACCTAGGTCCCTATATCCTTTTTTTAAACCCATACCATGAATATTCTCATTTCTGGTTTACACATCCTGGCATTGCTTTGTCACTTTTAAGTTCAGCTGTTAGACATTTTGCAAATGTCCAATAAAGTAAAACATGAGAATTTTTTGACATTGAATCTTTATAGACTCACACTTTATGATGTTCACTTGACATCGAAAGCAACTTTAATCAGTATCACCTGGGCAGGAAAGCGTTCTATCCCATCAATTATGTACTACAACTTAAGGAGTTA